CCAAACTTAGCGTTTTATGGTCGCAGGGTGTCCATTGTTCTAGCTTCCTCCCCACCAAAATGTCACAGCCACCGGCCAGAGAGAACACGGGGTACCTGGTGTGATCAGCCACAGAGCAGGCCACACTAAATGCCATTTTTGGAATAGCCTGTTTATACTGGGAGCAATTCGTTCTCAGAAGGTCTAAATAGGATGGGCCCCAAGGGCTGCTGCTTCGGGGTGATCCTTGCCCTGTGGACTGGACTTGGGCCCCACTCCTCCTGTCGAGAGTGAGATGACCCCTGTTTATTTCAAGAGTTACATAAATACAGGACTTCCCTTGCTTGGAGCCCTGTTTGGGAATCAGTATTTACTTGGTGTGTTTTTGGTGAACTGGAAGATATGTTCCAGGTCTGCTTTCTGTGGGAATGTGGGGAGGCACTGGCCATCTGACAACTGTGTCAACCTTGGTGTCCTCTTCCTCCAGCCCCATGGACAGAGTGTGTGGGGTGGCCTGGCCCCCTTCTCACTGAAGGAGCTCCTAGGGGAGCATGGCCCAGGGCAGCAGCACAGCTGCAGGGAGGGGCTCCTTGGTGAGAGGTGGTCATTGGCGCTGAATTGACATGGTGTCCACTCCCCTAAAAACCAAGCTACCATGTATGCATGGAGCCACAGACCTGCCGAGGGTGGTGGGAGCTCCAAGACCATGGTGCCTACTCTGTTCCACGTAATTTACCTCTTCAGAGGCAGGAACAAAGGTCAGGCAGAAAGGAGGGTGGGAAGGATCCCGTCTGCAGACTTCACCTGCGGCCGGCTGTTCCAGAGGCCTGGGAAGGATGGCAGCTCAGTCCTATGTTGCATCTCTCGCCTGGTTGGCCTGGGTTCCCAGCCTCCTGAGGCCAGGAGACCTCCCTACCCAGGGGACGCACAGACCTGGGGCTGAGCCTGACCCCAGGCAGCCCCCAGCCTCACAGGAGGGGCTGGGCCAGACAGCAAAGGAAAGGAGGACGAGGAGGCTGCCAGGCGCCGCCTTCGGGCACTCACTGCCTCACCTCTCCTCCCCACATGTTTCCAGGTCACATGTGAGTGTCTAGGTTGGGATGAGGGTCTCTGTGTGGCCACGTTCCCTGCTCTGAGAGCGCCGTGGTGCACTGGGCTTGGCTCGTGCGCTGCTGCCCTCGGAATGTCATTTTATGTGTTGATCTTGTGCCTGATGCTGTGAAGCGAGGTGAGGCCATTGTGTAAAGTGGGCCCATCCCAGGACTTGCTATGCATTTGTCTTGTCACCCGAGGACAGAGGAGGTACCATGGAGCCTGGGGCCGACTCCGTCCCCCTAGAACTGCTGTTTCCAGGCCTTGCACAAAGCCACATCAGAGGAGAAAGCGTCACCAGCTCTGCCCACCAGCACTGTCCTGGGCGTTCCCCCCGGAGCCTTCTCATCTGTCCACGACCCTCCTCCCAGGGGCTGGAAAGTGGCCGAGGCCACCACCCTTTCCTGAAACCGCGAGGAGGCAGCACCCTGGCTCCCGCCAGCTGCATCCCAACGTGCTGTTGGTGGTCTGCATCTCATTGCAATGTGGAGGACCTGCAGTTATGTTCACTCCCTCCTCATTTTACTTCACTGTCCCGTGGGCTCAGTGGAGTCCACAAGGGTGAAGGCAGAGGAAGGTTTGGTTGGAATGACTGCTTTGTGGGGAGTGAGCCCCTCTGTGGCATGGCCCTCTGTGGGCTCTTCAACCAGGCTCTTGCTGGCTCCCAAGGGGGAATGGGTGGACTCAGGGTGTTGTCAGCCCCAGTGGCTCTGACCTGCCCCACGGTGGAGGGCAGCTGCTCCAGGGCCCCTGAAGTGCTCTTTGCACTCTTTATGGAGCTTGCCACGTTGCTTTGCAAATAGCAGGTGCTCATAGTTGCCATTTTGCTGTGAAAAGAGAAAAGCAATCCTGAATATTTAGAGCTGTGTGTGTTACACCTTCCTGCTGTCATCTGTGGGGCGATCAGCATCTGGGGTGCCTGCAGGAGCTGCCTCCGGGGCCAGCGCTGGAGCCATGGGAACTCAAGCTGTTTAGGGCGAGTTGGTCACAATGGCTGTGGCTGCAGGGTCCCCGCTGTGGTGGAATCCAGCAGCCACAGTTTAATGTAGATGCTGTGCCATTGGTGACATGGATGCTTGCATGCATCGGACCTCAGGAGCGCTGCTGACTGATGGCAACATGGCCGGGACCTGGTCCCAGGTGTAGCCTCTCAGGGGACTCAGGGACCTGAGGGAAAGCTGTCTGAGGTGGCAGGAGAAGAGTGAGGGGCTTTGTGAGGTGGGGACCTTGTCCCATTGTTCAGTCCTGGGTCCCAGCATGAAGTGTCTGGCGCAGAGGAGGCCTCACTTGTCCTAAACCTGCATCAAAGCAGGATGAGTGGAGCCCAAGCCTCCGTCCCGGGTCTCTTGGGCAGGACACAGAGGCTCCCAGCAGCCCCTCAGGAAGCTACCAGCGAATGGAAACACGGGAACCGCAACCAATGGGTCTGATTGGGTGTGGCTATTTCCATGGCCCGCTTTTGCGTTCAGGTTCTGATTCTCTGAACATTGTGACATTGGCTGATATTAATTTAAGGCTCCCCACATGCCAGGTTACTGTTCAGATCATTTATATGCATTTGATCCTCAACCAACAAGGTGGGGAATTTGCAACCCTGCTTTGCAGATGAGGCAACTGAGGCGGAGAGATATTAACTCCCTCAAGGTCGCGGCCTCGTAACTGGGATTGGAACCCAGGCAGGCGACTCTGGGACCCAGACTCTGAACCCTTTCACCATAAGGTAGACTGCACTGGAGGCTGTTTCCATTCCTAGAAAGAGCCCCCGCACCCAGCATTTTGCGAGCTTTGAATGTGAAAGCTAGGATCGAGGGCTTGTCTGCCGTCAGAGAGTGGCCACATACACACATCCTGAATGTGGGCACCTTTAAAATATAAATATCCAGGAAATGCCCCGAAACTTTGGAGAGTAAGCATCAGCTCAGGTTGCCAGCATTTAGATGTTGCCTTTAGCCCCGTAGGACGGATGCCACAGTCAAGGGCCAGCAGCATTCTTCCCTCTCACTTTTCATTTGGTTTCTTTTCAGTATTTAAAATGTAGGAATCAAGTCTGGATGTCTGAGTATTCTTGATTTAGTTTTCTTTTTTCCCAGGAGGCATGATTAACAAAGAGCCACAATGGCAAACTGTGTGGAGGCAGTGGTGTGGGCTTGCCTGGAGAGCTGTGCTGGTGGGGCTCACCTGGGGTGGCATCTCTGGTCTGCAGAGGCCAGTCTGTGCTGCAAAGCCTGGCGCAGGCACAGGGATGGCAGGAGCGTCCTGGAGTCAAGGGATTAGCTGTGTTTCATTGTAGTAGCTTCTTTTTTCCAGAGATCCAAGTTAAAAAAAGAAAATTCACCTCTTAAAAAATATCGTACATAAAACCTGCATTTATTCTATACGCAGATCATATTTTTAGAGCCAAAACATCCAGAAACACGGCCTGAAAAAGGCACATGAAAATACCGTTCCCAGAATTAAGTAGTAATGACATTCTGAAGCCTTGCTGTTTAAAAAGATCCACTGCTAGTATAACAGGACCCCTGGTATATTTAGAAAATTCGTTGTTAAAATCGGGTAAAGTAATATTTGCAAGCATCTGGCCCACGGATGACAGGAGCCGGCATCTGCAGAGGACACTCCCTGCCAGCAGCTGCGGCTCTCATGCTGCTGGAGCAGTGGCCAGATGCAGACGCTTTCTGGTGAGCTGGAGTCTGCAGAGGACACCCAGGACAGTGCACAGCTCCCTGCCAGCAGCTGTGGTTCTCGTGCTGCCGAGGTAGTGGCCTGATGCAGACCTGTGTGGTGCAGTGTCTCCTGCTGCTGCGGCGAGGGTGGCCACATAGGTGGCACCCTGCCAGGTGCGTCCAGCCCCAGCCTTGGGGTTGCCCACGTTGAGCCCAGGTCTCCTGGGAATCCAGGCCTGCTGTGTCTAAAATCTCACCCTCCTTAAACTCCCCTGACCAGGACACACCATGAGGTTTTCCTGTCAAACTTTACATGCATTTCATAGGACATCTCCAGATTTCATCAGCTCCTATTAGACCAGCCCTTTGTCCTTACAGCCAGGCAGGCATGCGATACACAGATCTGATCACCTTCTGCCCGTTGGCGCATGTTTTAGAAGCATGTGTGTGTTTTTTGCCCACCTCATGGCTACTGAAGAACAGTAGCTACTGCATGTCTTCTGTGATGCTTTGTGATTTTGTGTGCCAAGCCTTATTTACAGGCCATCCCTGAAAGCAAAGGATAATGGTACATTAGCTATTAACGTGACCCTGGAGAGCTCTAATTGAACTGCGCAAATAGAAGAATCCTCCCTCACCAGCTCCTGCTGCTCAGCTCAGCAGGGGGGCTGCTCTTACAAATGTCATCCAGCACAGGCGGCCCATGCTGGGCATTTTCTGGGGCCCCTGGTTTCCTTTCAGAGGATGCAGTATTTTCAGAAAGGGAGTTCGCATTTGTGCTCATCAGTCAGCAGCAGTCAGCTGTGACATCTCCAAACTTTGGAGGCTTTGGACTTTTTGGCCCGCGTTCTACATAGAACGATGGAGATTTAGGATCTTACCGCCCTCGTTTAATCTTGTTACGCGGATGAGGGGCCGAGGCCACGGGAGCTGGGCTTCTGCCCTGGGTTCCAGGCAGCGCTTCCTCGCCAGGCTGGCGTGGCCAGTCATTCTGATTCAAGGTCTTATTCCAGTCAGGTTTTGTTTTATTGATTTTTCGTCCATGAAGTCGAATATGGCTTATGTATTGTGTACCTTTCTCTCGTGTGTTTTTATTCCAATATCTCTCTATCACGGTTTTTATAACTTACCTTGCCCCCGACCTGTGACCCTAGTACGCTCTTTCCCACCACGTGTACCCTAATATGGGAATTCTGCTTTGGCGGCTGACTTTTGTGAAGTTAATTAATATACACTTCGTTTAGAGTAATGGTTGAGCAACTCAAAGGAAGTGAATTTAGTTTTATTACTTAGTTTTTATTTTATACTTAAAGAGCTCTATTTGACTTATTCAGATTTTTGCCATCAATTTTATGTATACACAAAAGGAAACTAAGCAAAATAACTTGGTTAGATTTTCCTAAAATTTTTTACATTCAGCATCCAACTCCTCTAACCCCCTTTAACTGGGACGTCCCCAGCCATCACCCTCAGTCCTCCTCAGATGCCAGTTTGTTGATGCATTTCTCTTTCTTTGATGCCTCATGTGCCAACAAATAAAGACCTTCAGCTCTTCCTGCGCTCTCAAGACCAGACCCACCCACATTCTCAGAGAAGCAGAACCTTAGAAGATGCATGGACGTGCATGGTGCATCTGTGTGCGCCGTGTCATGGGCTGGCACTTCTGACCTCAGTAGTGCAGGCACAGGCAGAGACCCAGGCGGGATTTCCGTGTGGCAGTCTGTAGGCAGGTGTCCGATTGTCCAGGGGACCCCTTCCTGTTCTCTTAGGGCCTTGCAAGGATTGAATGAGGCCCAGCCCACTCTGGGGGGGGGGGCACACGCTCCACTCAGAGCCAGCTGACTGCAGGTGTGAACCAGCCACATCCACACGACACCGCACAGCCCCCTATGAGAGTTGGACTGGGTGGCTGGAGTTGGGGCTGGGGCCTCAGCAGGCTGACCCCTGACCCACCCAAGGCTGGGCCTCATCCCGGCTCACCTCCCTCATTTCCCTGAAATGCATCATTCTTTCTTGGCCACCTGCCCGGCGTGTGCCCAGGCTGACTGCACGTATCATTGCTGTCTTCTAGGGTTTGTTACTTCCCATGCCTTCATTACCCCTGGGGCCTCTCCTCCCACGACTCCTCAGGCCTGGGACACCCCCAGCCCCACTCGTGTGTGGGATACGCATGCCAGCCACCGCCTGGTGGGATTCCAAGTTCTGCCCTGGGGCTCAGGGTACCTGGAGGCTCAAGGTGACTTCTTCAAAACCCTCATGCGCAGGGTCTGGAGGGATTGTGGGAGAGCCGTGAATGCAGCAGCTGCCGTGGAAGCAAAGCCTGGGCGTCAGGACGGGCTGCATCTGCACCTGGTGAGCACCAGAGGTCCCTCAGGAAAAGCAGAGGCCTCCTGCACCCCTGTGCATTCCCTGGAAACTTCCTGTAGGCACAGAATAAGTGTCACATCCCAAACGCCTGATGTTGGTATTGTGCATAAATGTTAACCTAGAGGTTTTTATTTGAAAAGTTCACGTTTAATTTTTAAGTCTTGTTTTTACCAGTTCTGCGTGTTCAAGACATACCGTAGGCCTTTTCCCTGTAGCTTCTCTTTAGAAAGAATGTAATGAATTGTGCTGGAATCGCGCTCGTAAGTTCTCCCTCACCCCGCATCCTCTGGGGCTCTCCACTCCGGCCCAGGCAGTTGGCGTGTCAGTTATGTTTATATTACGCATCCTGCCATCTGGGGCTCTCATCGAGAATTTCTCGGACATGGTGTGACATCAGTGGGTCCTTTGTTTCGGAGCAAGCGTGTTCTCCTCACTCTCTGGCACGGCCTCGGCGTTAGGGGTTTCCTCTTTCTGGGAAGCTGTTCCTTCTCGAGAACACCGCGTGCTTTGTTCCTGCAGTGCAAGAGGTGGGTCATCCTGGGGGGAAACTGCTGGCCACTCGCAGAACAATGGGACAGGAGGAGGCTGTCCACGGCTATCTGGGCCTGAGCTGCTCAAAGGTATTCTGTTTTCCATGGCTTTTGCTTCTTGGTTAGATCTTCTCTCTATTTGTGACTATCTCATCCCCTTTGCATCAACAGAGGGAGAGTATCTGTTGGCGAGGGGGATGTCAAAACCCAAAAAGTGGATAATTGGTAACAACCCACTGTGGCACATACCCGTGACGACCAGGCCGCACAGGGGCCGGGCGTGGACGACCAGGCCGCACAGGGGCCGGGCGAGCACGACCAGGCCGCACAGGGGCCGGGCGTGGACGACCAGGCCGCACAGGGGCCGGGCGTGGACGACCAGGCTGCACAGGGGCCGGGCGTGGATGGGCATCATGTCCACAGCAGCAATTCACAGGTGCTGGAAACCGAATTTAGAATCTTAGGAGTACACACAGGCTCATGAGGCTTTCTCAGTAATCACGTGTGTCTCCGTCGTGGGAGGTGCACAATGGACACGCCTCAGCCTGTTCCATCTGTGAGGGCAGCAGCCCCTCCTGCAGGTGTAGAGAAGGCCATCTTTCCTCATGCTGAGCTGCAGCAGGGGCGTCTGTGTCTCGAGGTCCCTCAGTAACCTCGAGGCAGAGGCCTTCTGTCCCTGATGCCTGCTCTTGGCGGGGCTGTGTCTTAGTCTGTTTTCTGCTGCCATAACAGAGTATCATGGATTTTTAATTTATAAACAATGAAAGTTTATGTGGCTCATGGTCCTGGAGGTGTGGAAGCCCAAATTCGAGGGGCCGTCTCCCAGGCAACGGCATTACCTGGCAAGAGAGCGGAGAGACCCAGAGGGGGCTGAGCTCATTCTGGTAACTAAAACAGCTCTCATCCAGTCATGACAGCAGGGTCCTTAGACCCAGTCACCTTTTCTTAGGCCCCAGCTCCAAGCACAGTGGCATTGGGGTGAGGCTTCCCACATGTGACCTTTGGGGGACACATTAAACCCCAGCAGGCTGCCTTGTCCCCTGCCATTGTGGTTGTTTCGTTGAAACATGGGTGTGATGGATGCTTGAGTTTCTCTCTGAGGGGGTGGGATAGGCTGTCATTCCAGGGAAGGGGGCTTTGGGGTTTCACTGTCCAGACTGTGTCCGTTTCCTATTGTAGTTGACAAATCACTGCAGACAGTGGCTAATCACGTGCATTCATGGTCTGTAGTTCTGGGGACCAAACATTCTAACCCCAAATTGTGGGCAGGGCCAGTCCCTTTAGGAGGTTCCAGAGAGGATCCTTTCCTTGCCCTCTCCACCTCCAGGGGCTGCACACACAGACACTCACACGCATGCATGCACACACACGCACACACAGACATGCTCACACACATGCATGCACACACACATGCACACACGTACACACAGACATGCTCACACGTGCACACAGGCACATGCACACACATGTGCACACAGACATGCTCACACATATGCACGTGGACATGCTCACACACAAATGTGCACACAGATGCTCACACTCATACACTGAGGCACATGCACACACAGACATGCTCACACACGTGCACACAGACATGCTTACACATGTACATGTGCACACGAACATGCCCACACATGTGCACACGGGCATGCTCACACGTACACACATGCACATACGTACATGCTCACACACATACACTCAGGCACATGCGCACATGGACATGATCACACATACATGTGCATATGGACATGATCACACACACGTGCACATGGACATGCTCACACACATATACTCAGGCACATGCACACACATACATGGACACAAGGACATGCTCACATGTGCACATGGACATGCTCACACATGGACACTCAGGCACATGCACACACATACACACATGCGCACACCGGACATGTTCACACACACACTCAGGCACATGCACACACATACATGCACACACGGACATGCTCATGCACATACACACGTGCACACAGACATGCTCACACACATACACATGTGCACACAGACATACACGTACACACAATCAGGCACAGGCACACACATACACACGTGCACACAGACATGCACATGCACATACACACATGTGCACACGGACATGCTCACACATATACAACCAGGCACATGCACACAGATGTGCTCACACATGTACACACGTGCACACAGACATGCTCATAAACGGACACACACTCAGGCACATGCACACACATGCACACACTGGACATGTTCACACATGTATACACACACTCAGGCACATGCACACACATGCATGCACACACAGACATGCTCACACACACATGCACACAGACATGCTCACACACATACACTCACTCAGGCATATGCACACATATACACACATGTGCACACAGACATGCATGTACACATACGTGCACATGGACATGCTCACACACGTACACACTCAGGCACATGCACAAAAGTGCACACAGACATGCTCACACACATACACACATGTACACAGACATACATACACACATTCAGGTACATGTACCCACAAACACACATGTGCACATGGACATGCTCACATACAAGCCACGCACATACACACATGTGGACTTACCATCTAGTGAGGCAGTGCTGTCTCCCCGGAGGCCTGCATGTGCAGGTGGGTTGGGGTCCCCCATGTGGTGCGGGCCAGGCCTGCTGTGCTGTGAGGCGCTGGCCATGGGGGTGGGCTTCACTTCTAGCTGACCCAGTTGGTGGCCACATCCCTGGTGCCCAGGCCTGGTCCCTGGCCAGTGCAGCCTTCACACGTGACAGCATGAACAGACTCTTCTTGCCCAGACTGTGGCAACAGGCAGGCCCTCTCCTTCAGCTCGGGACTGCTGGGCACAGCACAGGTATAACTCTGAGCCAACCCCCCGAAGGCTCCGGCTCCTGAGCCGTTCCCCCAGGACCTCACCCCAGGCTCTGGGAGGGAAGGTCCCAGTTCCTGTCCAGAGAGGGTGTGAGGAAGGAGCCCCTGTGTGCACAGGCTCCGCCTCTCTCTCCAGGGCACAGGTGGGAGGGGCCTCAGGCAGCCGATGCCCTCAACACACAGCAGTTTGCTGAATCCAGAATCTGGGCATCTTTGCCTTAATTTTTGGCTCTTCTAAGAAGAATCTAGTTGGTACCCACTTCTCACCAAGTACCTGGCCCGTCCTGGGGCGGGGTGTGCTTCCCTTTCTGAACAGGTAAAAGATGTTTGAAGGGGTGGGGCCTGCGGGTGGGAGCCTGTCTGGGCCTGGAGCTCTGGGAGGTGGACGAAAGTGTTCTGGAATATTCCAGGCTGGTGCCATATCTGCCACAGCAGCCTTGTCTGGCTCCTGGCTCAGCTCTTCCATTCTGAAAGGGCCCGTGGCTCCCCCCTGCCTCTACCGCTCTCAGTAGGGAATGCTGCTGTCTCTTCACATCCTGCCAACCTGGGGCCCAGGCACGTCTCATGGAATCTAAAGCTGTTTTTGAAGGAATTCTTCCTCCATGGAGCAGATTCCTTCTCCTCCTCCAGCAGGGTCTGAACGTGCTCCTCCTGGCCAGGGTTCCAAGAGAATGGCATCAGAGGGGGACAAGGGTCCCTGAGCACGTCCTCAGCTCCTCAGACCTCCCTCTTCACTCAGGACTGCACAGCGAGGCATGGCTGGGAGGGAACTGCATGTGTGGGCACCAGGGTGGGCACCAGGCAGAACCTCAGGTCGTCAGCAAAGCCCTCAGCAGGCCCCCAGGGCCACTCACCTCCCTGCACCGGTGCCTCCAGCCAGTCCCGTGTGTGCCTGCTCTGTAGCCTGTTGTGGTCCCTTTCCTGCTGTTGTGGGTAAAATTGTGTTCCCTGAAAAGATGTGTTGAGTCCTGACCCCAGCACTTGTGGGTGTGGCCTCAGGTGGAGATGGGCTGCTGCAGATGCATGAGCTCAGATGGAGTCGCCCTGGATCCAACCGCTGGTGTCCATAGAAGATGGGGAGAGACGTGGGCAGACAGGTGTGTGGCTGGGTGGCGCCACAGCCAAGGGTGCTGGCCCCCCAGAAGCGGGCAGAGGCAGGGTGGCTCCTCCACTGGTGTGCACAGCCACACCAACTACCCGCTGCTCCAGGCCCTGGAGACTCCACTCCTAGGATGCAGGTGGTTCAGAGGCTTGGCCTGCAGCCCCCACCGGAGGGGTTGTGCCTGGGGGTCTGATGCATTCAATGTAACTGAGGGAGGCTGGGTTCACCAGGCTGCCTGGGAGGAGACGGTGTCCACTTGAGGTGCACCTCAGCACAGGGTGGGTGGGGAGGGTCCCAGCTGGGGCAGTCAGCCTGGGTCAGCGCAGAGCCCACCTCGGATGGCCTCTGCCCATGGTGGTGACTCCTGAAATTCTGCTGAGGCGGCCCTGGGGCCCCGGGCTCTGCAGTTGCCCATGTTGATGTCAAGCTTTGAGCTGTGGTTCTTGCCTCTGGAGCAGCTCTCCCCGCCATCCGGGCAATTGGTCTCCAGCTAAAGTGAGTTTTCCTTTTATTTTTTAACTAAACAAGCCCATGTTAGCAATACCCGGGCTGCCCCCAGGATGGCGTGAGCCCATCACAATGCTCCCCGTGACAGGGACCCCCCCACCAAGGACTCAGGGGCGGAATCCCACAGCATCCCGTGTCTGCCCCATGTGATGCATGCTATGACATCACTGCACACATAAAAATCATGGACATACTTCAGAAACTTTAAAATAGCCATGCCTTGGCCTGTAACTATTTGTAGGAAATTAACCTAGAGAAACAATCAGATGTGAGATGACGATTTGCCTGTGTGTTTTTTGCCACAGTATTTGTGACAGTCAAGAATCACTAGAAACCCTGATTAAATTTTGAAACACACAACCCAGGAAATATTTACCCAGCTATTTAAAATCATGTAGAAGGGTAGCATCATGAAGAAACGTTTGGGTGAAAAATTTGTTACACGCAATATACATTGCTCTTATAATTCTGTATAAAAGGGCATCAGATGGATAAAGAAAAGACCTCTGGGTGATGCTGTTAAAGTATATTGTATTTTTATTTTCTATATTTTCCAAAGTGAACACAATGATTTTGTACTCAGAAAAAAATACATATTACTTGTTTTATGCATCAAAAGGTAATGGTCACTTGTGTGTCAGAACTTTAGATGATGGCGTAAATATTTCCCGGGCCAGCAGTCCTGCCAGATTTTATCCCCAAAAGAACATCTCCGAAGTGTCCTTAATCACTGATTCTGCGTTTATGGTTTATGTTAATGTGAATTCCAGACTTCCTTGCTGGGTAAAGCCATAAAAAAGACAGAAGTCCAACAGCTCCTCCTGTTCCTTCCTCTCCTGCCCCTCCCCACCCTGTCCCCACTTCAGAAGTCAGTTGTTCAGTCGTCCATGTGGGGACCGGGCCCTGCTGGCTGCTGGGACACAGGGACCTGCTCACACGTCATACTGGCCCCCGAGAGGGAGGTGCTAGCAGCTGCAGCTGCCCTCCTGTCACCGCACGGAAGCCATCACCTACACAGGTGCCATGTCACCTCCGCTGCGGCGTGAGCCCTGGGTGGGCAGGAGCCACTGGCCTTGCTCAGCGCTGTGCCCCGGAGCGGGCCCCGGTTGCCCGGAATCGAGGGTTCGTTTCCAGATTTCCCTCAGCGGGTCTGGGGCCACGGCTCCAGAGCAGCCCTGACATGCTGGTGTTACACCCGGGGCTCTCCCAGCTCACCATGAGCTTCTGGACTTCCTCACACAGCCCCGTTCCAGTCTCCACCCTTCCTTATTCCCCTCTCAAGACACGGAGTGAGGCTGTGCAGAAAACACCTGTGCCTGCCCTCATGTGGCCGGGGCCACTGCCCCTCCGCAGCCCGACTCCCCTAGCCTTGGGGGTTGGCTCTGGGAGCTGTGCCCTGCCTGCTGCAGCTCCCATTTCTTAACTCTGTTTGTGGCTGATGATCCGGAATGGTCGCTATGAGGATATTCGGTATCCAGGTGTTGCGTTACCTTCCGCCTCCCTCCTGGGGCGCCTCTGGTTCCTGGGAGAGAGGCCGAGGCAGGATGGAAAGAAGCCTGTCCCTTGGGAGACACGGCTTGGGAACTCACCTAGGTGTGCTGGGTCTGCCTGTCGGGATTCTCCGGTCCCGGATGCTGGCACCACAGGTCTGCGCCTTGGTGCCTCTGTGTGGCCTGAAGCAAGTTGCTGAACCTCTCTGTGCTTATTCTATAAAATACCAAAAACGGTGCCATCTCCCAGCTCTCCGTGAAGATCACTAGTTCACAGCATGGCGGGTGCTGTGGCGGGTGCCTAGGGCTCTCACACCAGGCACAGTGGTCACAGTTGTTCTTCAGACAAGTATTAAATGATTTTTATGGAAAAATGGTATCATTTGTGCTATAATTTAAGACAGAATAAAGACTTCATAGAGCTAGAGAGAGAGCGTTTAACGAATCAACTCCTGAAACTGTGGGTGCTGGCAGTCCGAAATCTGCAGGCGGTGGGGCAGCCAGGGCTGGGGAGAGCTGGACTGTATGCGGGCCGTCTGGGGCACAGCACCTCCTCCTCAGGGAGCCTCCTCTTTCTCTCAAGGCCCTTGATGGATTGGATAAGCCCCGCCCACGTTATGTCACGCAGTGTACTCAAAGTCTACTGATGTAAGTGCCAATCCCATCTACACATACCTTCACAGAGACAGCTAACCTAGCATTTGACCCAAAATCTGGGCACGGCGGCCCAGCCATGTTGACAAATAGTAAAGCCAACGATCACAGAGACCAAGGGTCTCCACCCTGGTGCCCTACGTGACATGGTGCCAGCTAGAGGATGTCGGCCGGGCAGAGCGGATGGCACAGCGTTGAGGAAAGAGGCTGATGGCATGTGTGGAATGCCCGAGTGTGACGAGGGAGATGAGAGAGGCAGGAGAGGTGAGAGGGTGTGGCCCTTTCTTTTCGTCTTGCTCTTAAGCCGCAGCAGATTTCAGCACTGGCTCTTAAGGTGTGGACCAGCACATTCAACATCCCAGGGAATTTTGCTAGACATGCACATTCTCGGGCCCCACCCCAGACCTCCTGGATCAGCAAGGAGCCATCAGAATACAGCTGTGTGGGTTTAACAAGCCCTTGGGAGATCTCGATGCAGCCCAAGGCTGGGCAGGCTGGAGGGCACCTGCGTGCCAGGAGAGCGGCCAGAGGGGAGGGCAGGTGCCCAGAGGGAGTGTGTGGGCTGTGTGGGCTGGGGACTAGGAAGGGTGTTGTGTCTTAGACTAGTGGAAAGGGCAGGGCCTGCATTTCAGGACCCTTCTGTCTGGACAGGCTTTCCCTGAAGCTGGAGGCGGCAAGTTGGTGTGGGGGTGGGGGAGAGGGCGTGGCGAAGCTTCCCTGAACTGACAGGGAATGAGCTAGGAGACCTTCTGAGGCACGTTTTGCAGACCATGGGTAGGCAGGAGGTAGCAACTGTGCAGCTGCAGGCACAGTGGGGTTGTTTCAGCACTGGGCAGCCCAGGGGAGACTTGTCCACTCCCTGAGGCCTTTCCACAGTCCTCACTTCACTGGGCTCCAAAGAGATTCTGTGGAACCTAGTGAAACAGCTGATACTCAATACGTTTCTCATGTTTAAAAAAGCAGTCATTTCTTACAGATTTACTCAATACTTTCTGTCTGTGCTTATTATACCTTTTATTCTGTAATTATTCATTTTTTTACTCTTATTTCCAGATCTGTCCAGCCTATGCAGACCTGCGGGCACTATAAGGCACTACTGTGTCACCTTCATCTTTTTATCACTTTGCCTCACTCTGTTCCTGAATGGTCACCACCCTGGAATGTCCAGGCGCACATGTGCCACTAGACAACGGGATGTTGGGGCACACACATGCTGCTGGGTGCTGGAATGGTGCACACATGCTCTGCTGGACACTGGGATGCTGGTGCATGTGCACATGTTATTGGCATGAGCTGTAGTTTGAACCTCAGCCATTTGATGCTTGAATTCCCAAACCATTCATGAAAATGGGTACTTCTTTCTGCTAGGATTTTCTCTCTCTCTCTCTCTCTCTTTTAACTGATTGTGGGGAAGGGTCTGGTCACATTGTCCAGGCTCAAACTTCTGGGCCCAAATGATCCTTCCACCTCTGCCTCTGCCTCTGCCTCTGCCTCTGCCTCTGCCTCTGGAGTAGCTGGCAATATGGGCCTGAAATACTGTTTCTTTAAGGAAGGGCATGTTACCTATTATTCCAAACCACCGGTGTTGGGCAAGGAGAGGTCAGAGTTTCTTGCACATGGCCTTGTAGTGGCGGCCATGGCCCTGCATAGAATCTGCAGGTGGCAGCCAGGACGCTACGGGTGTCGAGTGCACATTGTGGCCTGGTGCCAACCATGGCGAGGGCGGGGAGCCCCGTGCCTGCCGCGCGCACTTCCCTCACCCGGTCCTGCGTCCTTGGGCAGGCGATGCTCCTGCCTGGAGGGGCCGGTCCACCTTCGGTCAGCCACGGACCCACGCATGGAGTCAGCGACCCAGGGACCCACTTACCTGGGCGCGGCGCGGGTGGCATGCGGCCACACGGAGGGGGCGCGCTAGGCTGCTGCGGCCTCTGCAGCTTCTGCACCTGCCACGGGGCGGCCAGAGGTAAAGGGAGGCGCGGTCAGGTGCTGCCCGGCGAGGCAGCTGCGCTTGCTCGGTTGTCCACGCGCGTCCGCGCGGCTGCTCCATAACTGGAAGGCATGGGGACGCGGAATGGGGCGAGAGCGCGGGGGCGCGGGGACTTGCGCGGCATGCGCGGGGCTCCCAGGGGACCTCGGCTGTGACACTCGGAGCCCCCAGGTGACCTCGGCGGTGGCAGAAATTTCTAGGTGACCTGTGTGACTGACACGCGGGGCTCCCAGGTGACCTCCGCGGTAACACGCGTGGCTCCCAGGTGACCTGCAGTGGTTGCTCTCCGGGGCGGGCGCGCGCCGCTTCCGCTTCCGCCGAGCCGCCCCCTGCCCCCCGCAGCGCAGCGCGCGCCCCCCTCCCGGTGGCTCGAACCAATCCCGGGAAGGGAGGCGACGGCTCGAGGCCGGGAAGCGCCACCGCGACCCCTCCCCGCCTCCGCTGCGCCCCCTCCCAAATCCGCGAGGAGGATCGTTTGTGCTGCGTCGGAGGATGAGGTTTTGGCTGCGGACTGAAGAGATGGCCCTGGAAGAAATGGTGCAGAGACTAAACGCGGTTTCGAGGCACACGGGTAGGAGGGGCTGCGGCCTCAGTGATGAGCTTCAGCTTGACAGCAGGGGCTGCATTGTAGGGAAACGC